AGGAAGGCAGCATCGCTGCTTCCGTAAATATGGGCATGCTGGTCGCCTGGGGGAAACACCTTACTGTCTTCACACTCCTGGCGCAGAGGACAGTACGACTTTACCCCTAGACCGCCTCGTACCACGATTACTCGTAGTGCGGGGTCTCGCTGCTCTTCGTCTGGCTGCTCCCCTTTGGCCTTCCTGGCATGGTTAGACCTTTTGGAACGAAGTTCCAGCCAGTGTAGCCCGCGGGATCATCATCATCGACGGCATGACATCAGTGTTCAATACCGATGCTTCACTGCCGTAAAACCATGATTTATTTGAAAGCCTTATTGTAAAGAAAAGAGTAAGGGTGGACGGGGGAGGGACTTAGTGCTAGCTTACCACAATCATTCCGAGGTGCCTGTACCTCCAGACATTCACTCAGGCGATCTGGATAGAAACTGACATTGTCAGATACTGAGTCTTCTGACGCCCAGGGCATGCTGCGACCAGGCTTCCGACCCGTATATTAATACGGAGCGCACCGCAGCATTGTAACCTCGACCATGAACGGATGGGCTGGTGTGACGTCCACGCCACAGGTGATACAGGTTCACGAAAGCTGCTCTGGCCTTTCCAGTCTGGAGACCACCGGGAGTGATACAGCTGCCAAGGTAGATGAATTTGTCTGTACGTCAATCGGCTCATTCGCAGTTAAGAGGCTAGAATTCAAGCCTACCCAATCTTGCAGTAGCACTTTACACTTTGCAGGTGTGAAGCGACTGCCAAATCGTGAGGCATTACAACGGCATTAGATTCAAGAAGAGCTATGTCATCTGTGTACTCGATTTTGTGCATGAACGTCCCGGGAGCACTTCGACTCACGGGTATTAGAAGCTTGTAGAGAGTCCTCCACAACCAAATCAATTACGACGTCGAAGAAAGTTGAAAGAGAACAGCCTTGCTTGACACCACTTGATGTGATGAACTCAAGTGAGAGCTCCTCGTAACCTTCACACTTCCGCAGGATTTGGTGTACAGTGCCTCAAGGAGGGTCAGGAACTTATGGGAGACACCTTTCCTCCGCAGATACTGCCATATTGCTCAGGAGTCCATATAGTCATAGGCGGCTTTCATGTCACGGAAAACAAGTATTGTTGGTCGGCTGAAGCATTGTCGCTGTTCCAGAATCTGTTGGAGGGTAAAAATGTGATCAGTGCATTCTGTCGCTGGGCGGAACCCAGTTTGTTTTTCACGGATCTGCCTCTCGCCGAAGGAAGTATGAGGGCTGATATACTGCCAGGTTGCCCAAGCCTAGACAGGGAAAGTCGAGAGGCAGAGGTGGGGTTCAAACCGCAGACCTTCCGGTGCCTATACCTCCAGGTGCTCAATCAGACAATCTGGTAACTGACAGCACGGACATTAGTGACATCAGTCAGCCGTCATTTCTTGGAATGTCTCCAGCCAAACACAGGCGGAGTTACGGGGACCCCGTTCTGGAAGACGTACAACACAACAACACCCAAGCTCTTCGTAATCTTTTTCACACCATCCTACCAAGCCACTCGTCTTGGCATACAGTGTTTTGGGATGCGTAGCAGTTGACCGAGCCAAAGCAGTTGATGGTGCTGGATGTTTTCCGCGACTGAAGTACCTGCTGCACAATCAAATACCCGTTTTCCGATCATTTCGGTACTAATCCGTTGACACCATCTAAAACCAGAAACGCTTCTAAGGCACCGGTGGGCTTAAAACCTGAAATACCTCGCATCATCTGTCCGCAGTGGCTACGTCTCAATGTCGTACAACAGCACATCCATTACCGTAGCCTGGTAAATGCGACCCTCGAGAGCTAGTGTCATACATTTTTTGAAGCTACACACCGTGACGTGATCAGAATCAAGTTATGCGCTCCAGAAGGAACGGCAATCTTGAAATATACCTCTCCGCCCGTGGCTGGCGGCAACTGGTAGCTCCAACTGGGTCCACGGTTGATTTGCAATTGGAGGCCGCGATGCGGATGTTTATGCTGTAATTTCGTACTGGCTAAAAACAGTTCATGATCAGCACGACCGGAGGAGTCTCTATCCGGTGTATGTGTGGTGACTCTCGACCGTCCAAATATGATTCCAAGGAGCTTAAACGACCGACTTGTTCGTTCATATCACCCGCAAGTTGAAACAATGACTTATGGCTCCGAGTTACAAGAATGGCAGGAGAACGGACTAGGCTGGTTACCACCGTCACCTTTTGTACTGCCTAAAGTGATGAATCTGGTAGTGGTAGACCAACTTAGAACTTATTTGGAGGGCAATAACCTAATTACTTCAAAACAGCATGTTTCTAGTAACGTACTGCCTACCAAGCTTGTTTACCCGTAATAGCTGAAAGCGCCTTGGTTTTCCGGCGGAAGATGTCACTTGCTTCGATCTTCCCAAAGCCTTCGACAGGAATTACCAGGACCTACCAGGATGCTGTTAGGTAGGCTCACTGCACCCTAATCCAACCGATCGTACTTCACAAACCTCAGCCGTTATGATAAGTGGTACAATCTGCAACTACAAACATCAGCTGCAGTGTATCGTCCGGTTCAGCATTGTGACTAGTACTATTTCTATTATTTACTGGCGATTTACCCGAGAAGCTTCCAACAGCTCATGCTCTTCACTGACATCAAAATCAGGAGAGCGACACAGGTTGACGACTTTCTCAGTCTCCAAAGAGGTCTACAAATGACTTGCTGTGGGTTTTTAAAAAAACCACTTACCACTTAAAGAAGACAGATACCACGTGCTGCTTCTCTGTTGCTTCACTGATCGAAAATGCGCATTTGGTCTCAATAACCGCCGCGCTGTTTCAGGTGAAAACGACTTATGAATCATCACAGTCTGGTCTGACATGCAACACCCGACACACTCACTTCTACAGCAAAAGAGAGGCATATGCTTAATAGTCCCACTTTTACCTGATGAATTCAGTTTACAGAAGCACACTCAAATCTAACACTAGGTTTCAAACTTTGACTCATCATGCTTACGAGCTGGTCTTCGTCAGTTCCATGGGATGCGGCAGCCAAGCGCGCCGCTAAATCTTCCGCAGAGAATCCAGCTCCGTAGCTACCACCGACACCCGACTCTGACTCGAAAACAAACGGTGTTTTGGGCTCCTCAATCTTCATGTGCCCGTAGGTCTTATCCGCGGGATGATATGTTGCTAGTATATTCATCTCGTCCCATTGAAATGTCTTCTGTCTCTGTGATTCTTTTGGCTTTTTGAGGATTCCTTTTGGAGAAGTAGTTCCACCTGATTTGTCCGTCATGTTTGTTTCCGCTCTCGGCCGGGGACCCACAGTATTCCGGCTGCTGATTGGTCAAATAGTCGCGATAAGTTACGCGAGCAACTAGGTACGCAGATAGCCGTAGATTACACAAGCTTCCCGAAAAGGAATGATCAGTGGTTGTCACGGTTGGAAGCTTCAAGATTTACATAGAGCATCACCGTATATGTTCTCTAGGCCCATTTTCCAGTAGGCAACCGTGAGTGTGTAGCATCGGTTCAGCTTAAGGTCTGTGCTGTACTCCAGAATTGTGAAGTCGGTAAAGGTCAAGAGAACAAGGTCTCAACAGCTTTTTGTAGTGAGAAGGTTTCTGGGAGATGGGCGATAGCCATAGCTACAAGGGCAATAAAATGGGGGGAAATAATATGGGGTGATAATGGGGCGCAGATAATTGAGGCAGTGGGTTCGATGCCGGCTGATCTGATATCAGGCTTTTCAGGGATTGATACACAGGATCGAGGCTTTTGCCGGATTTTCCCGGATCGCAGTTTCTTCTTGTCTTTCACATGATGCACTGATTTACAACACTATCGGGCAAGCCAACTAGCTAGTTCTCTTGATTTGTTGTCTGCGCCATCTACCTCCACATCAAGAGTGCAACGCAATCCGCAACTGAAAAGAAAACCGTCAAAAGTGAAGCCATGTTTCCGCTGCCAAATGGGAAAGACCAGTGTGAATTTTCCGCCTAAATTGGGATACTGGGCGCGAAATTGGAGCTTCTTCCTAAGGTTCTAGAGGACACAAACGCAAGGAACACAGCGGCTGGACAAATGTTGATGAAGAGTTTTCTTCGGTGAGCAAGTACCTCACGCTATCCGTCTCGGGTTCGCTAGCTCCGAAGAAGTTCATCCAGCTCTTTGATGCGGCAGTAAAGACCCATACGGCGTCTCTAGTGGACAGGCGCATGAGGGGGAACAGGCTGATCATCTGAGGGTCATTCTCCGGAAAAAATCACGCCAAACGAAACGGGCCCAGTCGCTCCTTCGTAGCGTACTCACAAAACCTAACCACGAATAGTCTCACAGAGATTGGTTGCACCAGAAGGGAAGCAACCGAACACTTGGTCTTCTAGTCATCCTTTCCTCCCCATATGCCGTATAATAGATCTTAGAGCGGACTGTCGGCGTTCAAAAGATCTACCCAACAATCAGGCGTCCATCTAAGGATCGCCCACTAGAGAAGCGAAAGCTGGGCCATAGCAGTTCTAGGGGAGAGGGGCTAGGGGAGCTTCCGCTTGGCGCCAGTTCAGCCAACCCCAAACCACTGGCTACATCGGTGGTAGTTATAGATCCTTGTGCTCCTAAAAGCACGCTGACGCAACCGGCCGCGACTCGGATTGCAGTTTTTACTCAACTACCTCAAGCTCCCCCACTACCAAAGGCAGAGTTCCTCGAGATTAGTCAGGCCTCGCGCGAACGCAGCGCCCGAAGTACGTAGTGCTATCATCGCTTGTTTCCGTAACAGAAGATAAAGGCACAGTAATGAAATTCACACCCAAGTCACAGTTTCTGAGCTGGACGGGTGAGACGCAAGAAGACAAGGGACGAAGCCCACCGAAACATCAACCACGAATTTTGACCTTGACATCGGCGCATGCTACAAGAACCCTACAAGTACTGGGTACGTGAAACTGTCAATCGCCAGTCCCAATCCGTCAAATGGTTTTTTTTTGATTTCGGACACAGTCATCGCCCAGGACCTCGACAGCCAAAGCCGCAAACCTGACCACAGTGAACCGGAAAGTCCCTCGTGCACCCATTTGGCCACGCTGATCCCGGGTAAATTGGGAGTTCACGCTAACACAACAGAAAGGCAACTACATTCGAAGAAACCACATAGGATTCACCAAATCAGAAGACTGCTTGCTGGCTTCAAGGCGCAATCCTCTGCGAAAACGAGCCTTTTGGTGCGCCACCAAAAGAATATTTCCCGGTGCCGCCACTTTGCGCTCATGGGCTCATTGTGACACCCTTCTGATCGAACCGCGTCAAAATGTAAAAGAAAACGCGGACTTCATTCCTTCCCGATTCCTTAATCCACAGCAATTCTGATCGTCCAAAGGTGTTATTGAACGAGCTACAAGAAACAGCGTTCGAAATTTTTGCCCATGGTGGAAGGAATTTTTCCCCCAATGGTGAAGGGCCTGCGCAAAAGTTGCCCTCACGAGGCGAAAAAACCTGAAAATGTAAAGCATCCCTGGTATTCAACAAGACAGGAAGCAGTCGAATAGGTCTCAGAGGACCCCTCGCAGCCTCTGACTCAAACGCGACGTACAACTGTGCAGTCTGCTTACTTCTCTGATCACTTGACTACCGGTTTCTCGCCTTCGGAGGCAACAGAGGCAGTGTTGAAATGCTTGTCCACAGACCGCCTCGGCCTTTTCAACGAACTTTGCGATATCAAACATCCAGTTTGCCTTGAAGAGCCGACCATAATCGCACTCTCACAGGCCGGGCTCACGCCAGATGTCCCTGACGCGGAGATCTCGATGGACGGCTACTCTGTTTTTCCAGCTGATTCTTAACAATGAAGGGCTGGTTGGGTTACTTTGTATTTGTGTGCGGCTCTTCCCACCCCGGTTGTCCTTCCCGACACCGCTCCAGCACCTTTTTCCGATGCACCGTGGATCCGAATCCCGCTGCGCAGGTTTACTTCTCTCCTCGGTGGGGTTGACCGTTGCCCCTCGAGTCCCTCTGAAGCTTGCCGATTCCTTGTAAGTGCGCCTGAGCAACTCTCTTCCAGCTATCACTCCACTCATATCCTGCTGGTAGACGCTCCAAAGGCCTCCTGGGTTGCGCCGTAGCACGTTGGATCAAGTGGGCTTTTTTCAGCGACACTGACAGAAGTCGTCCAACGGAGCGCCTGGACTGTGAAACCCGAACCTCAAATGGGGATTCAAAACTTCTGGCGTGCAGGCATTTCAGGCATACGCATCTTTCCTGAAAACGTTAAACTGAGGCGAGCTTCCGTGGGGGAGGTTTACAGGACCATTATCCAGAACGTTCACGAGGCCGACGCGACGTTCGTCTAAAATACAACACAGTCGGATGAACCGCAAGCTACCTAAAAGGATTCCGAGTCTTCTGGAAAACATGTCTCAACTTTGTTTTCACAAAGTTCACTACAGGGGAGACAGAAAATGAGCTAGCATTTTTTAAAACGCAGAACCGCTGTAAATCGGGAACCCGCAAATGGATCATAGGAAAATATGCCAACACTTTGGACCTCGCTCGGAAAAACAGGCCTTTCAAGTACATGAGACAGAAACAAGCCATCCTACTTCTCCTAGAGGGACAGACGGTGAACACAAGAGGGACCCAAAAGTGATGTGTGAAATCTACAGAGAACACCATGCGGTTTCGTATTCAGCCCTATGGTCCCCGCCACATCCAATCTTATCACAGCGTAACTACGAATGGCCTCTAATCGACTTGGTCTTCACTGAAGAGAACATCCGTCAATCCTTGCACAAGATCAACTCATTCTGCGCGTTGGGGCTCGAAGATGTCCATCCAGGGATCCTGAAGGAAAAGTCGTTCACATTAGGGAATCATTTCCATCTGGTGCTTTGTCATTCGTTTGACGAAGACCACCTTCCTTATGCTTGGAATGAAGCGATTATTACGCCAAAATACAAACTTATTGGCGACTAACAGCCAGCGACTGCTAGCTTATTAGCCCCACTGGTGTGCCGTGCATGGTGATCAAACGCATTCTGAAGCGAGCCATCCTAGATCTCCCTACGACCAAACATTTATATCTCAGCTTCCACACCGATTCCTTCCAAACCGTTCTTGCCTACCAAAGACGCTCATATATATGGGCAGCTTCACCCAAGCCAAGGGTGAGGGTCTCACTGATGATGGTATATTTTTCGACTTCTCAAAACCATTCGATAAAGTGTCACACGTACCGAAAAATTCACAAGCTCGAACCGTACGGGATTCAAGGGAAAAGTCTACACTGGATGAAAGACTTCCTATCTCCAGCGCCGATCTCCATTGCAGTTCCTCAGGGTCCCGTTTTGGGATCACTGCTAAGTCTGATATACGCCAAACACCCTTCAAATGTTCTTACGAGTTCATGTCTACTTCCCGCGGATAACTTGAAATCTTGAAGTTCCAATGCCAACGTCCACCATATGTAGATGTGGACGCTGCAAGGCAGTGATTGTTGGAGGAGACAGCAAATATATTTGTCATTCATGGTGAGATGGGAACAGGAAACATCACGAGGATAAAGGCCAAAAAGGATTTGGGTAGCTGGCTCCCCTCGAAAATGTTCTTCTCACTCCGCAATGAGAAACCAGCCCAAAAGGCATTCGTCATTCAACGGATGATTCGGCGCATCTTCTCCCGTATTACTTGCAAGGATTTCCAAGTATTCTATGGGGCCCTATGTCAGATCGCTCCTTTAATACGCCAACCAAGTTGTATACTCAGGTCACACGAAAGACGTCGCCCCCGTCGAAGGTGTCCAGCGAGGCGCTACGAAAATGTTTGCCGGCCGCACTCCTTCTAGAACCAGTTCAAAGCACCATCAGATACTTATTTACGCGAGTCCTCTCGCTGAAAACAGAGAGGGCAGTGCTTCAGCCTTTTTTCACTGGTGCCCTTCAGATGAACGACAGCCACTGAACTACTGGAAAAAACCAACCCGGGAACTTGGGCAAAGGCCCTGATCCTTTGTGTCAATCTGTGAAACCGTGGTGACGGTTATCTGGCTGAGGCCCGCGGGTTTTGGCATTTCTCAGCGCCCTGGAACAAGTATCCTCCAACCCACATTTCGGTGACATGCACTTCCATAATGCTACTTCTCCAGATATTGTCCCCTAAGTGGTTCATTGTCCCTGACTTCTCATAATGCATCCTTCCAGTAGAGCTTGATTGGCTGTTCACGTTTATCCTCCCTGATTGGCATTTCCGGTCTGAAGAAAGCTCTGTCTGCTGTTGGACACACTTTAATTGAGAGAGAGGTTGAAGCGCTTCAGTCCAGGTGGGCAGGGCTATTTGCCTAGAGAAA